GGGAATGACCTGCCAGCCCAGCTTCGCCAGGGAGGTCATGCGCTTGATCAGGTGCGGCCCAGCTCCCAGAATACCTAAGCCGTAGGTAATAGCTGGGCCGACTGCAGCCTTGGGAACCTGTCTGAACTTCGCCCCGAGGTGGCCCAGCCTCCTGAAGTGACGGGCCCGCTTCGAAACCCGACCGACCCGACACCGAAGCACACGAGCGCGAACGCGCTTGCCAGCGGCCACCTCGAGGCCCAAGACTTCCAACCAAGACTGGGCCTGGAAACCGTGCCTTCGCAGACGCCGAGCCACAGCGGGGGCGGTGGAGTCGCCAGACGCTGTGAGAAACGCCTTCGACTTCGCCACGGGGAGGCCGAGATCCAGCAGGGTGTCACAGAGCAAAGCCCCCGCGTCAGTGGCGATCCTGCATATATCAGTCCGTCTGGCCACCACCTGCAGGGTTAAGCCGTCAGCGAAGATGCCCAAAGAAAAAGAGAAACCCAGCCGAGCAGGAATGTCGAGACCGACCGTGCTGACAAAGTCATCCATGGACGCGAGCATAAGCAACTGCACAAGGGCAATCGCGAACTTGCAGCCTGGAAGGACGCCTTGAGACACCGCTACAGCGTATGATGTAGCCTGCTGCCACACGAGCCTGCGAGGCGAACGGTACATCGCCAGCGCACAGGAGAGCAACTGGCGCGGGAAGCCGTGCTGGGCCGCCGCTGAGACCAACCGCCGCCAGCAGATGCGGTCGAAGCACTTCTCGACACCAACAGTGGCCGTCACGACGCCGTCCTCGACCGCCAGTGCAGCTTCGGCCCTCACGAGGGCACGCGAGGCCACGTCCAGAGTGGTCTTGCCTGAGGCCAAGGCGAAGAACGGCCCGTCGTGCTCCAGCAGCCAGGCCCGCAACTGCTCGCTGCGGACCTGCGACCACACACGGTAGGTCGCCTGCAAGAGCGCGATGGGCCGCCATCCACCTTTGGGCTTCGCCAAGAGCACAATGTGGACGGCGGCCAGCTGCGTGGGCCAGCGCCCCCAGTGCTCCGCCAGCCAAAATACATAGACGAGCAACGAAAGGGTCTCGTCCGTGAGGGGGCTGAGGGAGCGAGGAGCAAGTCGGTCAGCACCTTGTCCCGTGTGCCACTTGAAGGACTTGGCCGCCGCACGCAACTGCCCAATCTTAGGCACAAGCAAAGAGGCGCGCGGTAAGCGTCGAATATCCTCAAAGGGCTAAGCCGTGTCAGGGAAGTCCGCGAGATGCCGAACCACGTAATCATCGGGCCCAGCAGCCGCTCCTTGCACTTGACCACGGGTGGAGACCTCGGATGCAGGGCGTGCGTTCCAGATGCCCGACCAACCATCCATTTGATCATCTGCAACATCCTGGGCCAAGGTGGAAGGCCGCTGATGCCGAACCACTTGGGAATGCGGAGCGCCAGACGGCTTCGTGAAGCTGAACAGTGGCTTGATCCGTGGCTCACGACAGCTAGCGGCCCAACGTGCAAAATCCCGCCTGCGCTCGGCAATAGCCGCCTGCTCCAGATCACCAGCGAAAGAACGGAGCCATCCAATGACAAAGTAAACATTATCCACCAGTAGGCGCTGAATGCCAGTGGGATCAAATCCCATGAGACCAACAGAAGAAAGCACAGCGTTGCCACCTGAATGCGACAGGGCAGCTCGATCCAGATGCACATGGAATGCGGCGGGGGACGCCTCAACGACCTCGCGTGCCAGCGGCAGGATGCCTCGCAGCGTGGCCGCCACGTGCTGGCACTCGAGCGAGCGAAAAGACCTTTCGGCGCCCAGAGAGACAAGCCTGTCCAAGCGCCGAAGTAAACCCATGGGGTTGCAGACCTGCACGAAGCGCGTCGTCCGCAGCCCGGGCCAGGCGCCGAGCGCGTCGAGCGTCAGGAGGTGCGGCAGGTCTCGCCGCTGCGGGCGCCCCTCCAGCCTGGCGCCAGCAGTAGGCCACCCTATCAGCACGGCCGCAGTAGCAAGCCGCGTCGCACGCAGGGATGCCGTAGCGCACTAGCAGCCCCTCCTCCACGAGATTCGCAAACTCGGCGTACAGGTGACCCAGCCGCGCCTGAGCCTGAACAGGACTCGCGGCTCCCCCATGTGCCACATCAGCCTCGATGAGGTCGCGGGCGCCACCCGCCAACGCCCGTGTGGCATCCTCGGTCGGGGCCGCCTTCGGGAAGGCCTTTGGCGCCCGCAGGACGAGGAACTTGACCGCCTTGGCCCGCGCGTCGAGGGACGTCAGCATAGGGAAATGCGGCGACGCAGGCCAGCCATCCACAGGCAGGGGCGACGTCAGCGAGCTCGCGATGGGCAGGCTGGCCAGCCAGTAGTCGATGGTCGAGTAAGCTCCCTGAGCGCTGCGGCACGTGCCCACAGGAAGGCGCCCTGCAGGGGCAGGGGGCCTCGCGACCACTGCAGCAGGGATGAAGTCCAAAAAGCCGTACTCCATGAGATGCTTCGGATCGCACTTGAAACCCCCTGCCATCAAAAACGGCCTGTTCCAACCACGCAGTGCAGTAGCGACGTCGTAAAGCCGCATCGCGTTCACGTCGGCCCAGCGCCCCACTTCAAATTAGCAGGACAATAAAATGAGCCCACCTCTGATGCCGAAATCCGCATGGCATGCCACACAGAAGTTCGGAATCAGGTCGAAACCTCGCAAGCCTGGCATCATCGTCACGCTGATGTGACGCCGAATGAAAAGACCAACGCCAGCAGAAGGCCGCTCAGACTCCAGGCGTCGGCACGAAGAGATGATAGCATGCCATCCAGACCGAGCCGCCCAGCCTTCAGCACGCCGACGATCGTCACCATCGATGCGCAACTCCTGAGCCGCCACCGCCTGGATGCCAAGGTCGCAATGGGCAAGAAACTCCCTGCAAGAAGCCCAGGACGAGCCGTTGCAGGTAACGAACGAGGCCTTCGTGCGGGCGCTGCCACGACGCCCACGGTGCCTAGCCTTCCATGTCGGCCTCGCCTGCGGCTTCCCAGGCGGCAGCGGCGGCTCCCCCGCCAGCGCGAAACGCGTGGGCAGCTCCAGGAGGCAATGCAGCCGCGGGGGCAGCGGCGGCCGCTGGCGATGGGGTCCGCAGAGCCTCCTGCCCCAGCGGGAGCGGCGGCGACCGCAGCTCCTGAGGCTGCGAGGGCCGAGGCGGCAGGGAACGCTGTGCCAAGCGCTGCAACCTGCTGCCCAATCGTCTCCAAGACGTCGACGCCCTGCCCACTGCAACGCGCGCGGAGGCGCTGGCGAGTGTCGCCTGGAGGCCGACCAGCGTGGAGGCAAGGGCTGCCAAGTCCACGCCGCTGGAGCCCGCCGCTGAGGCCGCCACGGCGCGCTGAGCAGCCTGAACCTCGGCCTCCAGGTTCTTGACCTCAGCGTCGGCCACGACCTGCTGCCTGCGGAGGTCCTCGACCTTCGCCTGAGCCTCCACGAGGTTGTCCGCGAGCTGGGAGGCCCGAGCGCGTGCCTCCTCCATGCGCTTCTGGAGAGAGACCAGGAGCTGCTCGGGGGGCTGAGCTCGGCGCTCCCCTGCCCCAAGGGAGGCGAGCTCCTGTCGGGCAGCCAGGATGAGCGGGTGCTCGTCCGCGTAGCCGAGCTGTTGCAGAGCAGCCAGCCCCTGCCTGGCGCGCTCGACTGCTTGCCCAGCGGGTTCTCCCTGAGCGGCGCCAGCTGGAGGACCGCCACGACCGCGAGCAGGAGGGCCAGAACGGCGCCGACGGCCCGCGGAGGCCGACCTCGCGCCCTGCTCCGAGGAAGCGGGCGGCTCGCGACCATGCGCCCGAGACGGTCCCTGCCACACTTCCAGCACGTCTCACGGGAGGCGAAGTTTGTGCGGAACCCGCACAACCTCGATGCGGCGCACGCCCAGGTCGGCTGCTGAGCCGAGGCCGCATTCTGCCGAGGCTGCTGCTGGGCCATGCCAAGGCCGCGCCCACGATCGCCGTGATGCCCAGCGAGCCTGGCGCGGGCGGCGGCCAGGCGCAGCGCGAACCTCGCGCGAGACCTCAAGCGGCGGGCGCGGCGGTGCCACGCAGGGCTGCGCGAGCGGGCCCGCAGCGCCACGAGGTGCAAGCGCCCGCAAGCAGCGGGCGGCTGGCGCGGGGGCTATGGCGCGGGCCCCGCGGCGCCCGCCCGCAGAAACGGCTGCGGGGGGGGGGCGTGGGGCGGGGGCCACGGTGCCAAGCCACCTAGAAGGAGGACGAGGAGGAGGAGGAGGGAGGTGGAGGAGGAGGAGGAGGAGAAGGAGGACGGAGGGGAGGAGGAGGAGGAGGAGGGGAGGAGGGGGAGGAGGAGGAGGAGAGGAGAAGGAGGAGGAGGCGGGGTAGTTAGAGTAGTTGTAGTAGTAGTAGTAGTAGTAGTAGTAGTAGTGTAGTAGTAGTAGTAGTAGTAGTAGTAGTAGTAGTAGTAGTAGTAGTAGTACTAGTAGTAGTAGTAGTAGTAGTCGTTGTAGTAGTAAGAGTACTAGTAGCAGATGAAGTAGTATTAGTAGTACTAGTAGTAGTAGTAGTAGTAGTAGTAGTAGTAGTAGTAGTAGTAGTAGTAGTAGTAGTAGTAGTAGTAGTAGTGGTTAGTAGTAGCAGTAGTAGTAGTAGTAGTAGTAGTAGTAGTAGTAGTAGTAGTAGTAGTAGTGGTGGTGGTAGTAGTAGTAGTAGTAGTAGTAGTCGTAGTAGTAGTAGTCGTCGTCGTAGTCGTAGCCGTAATAGTACTGGTAGCAGTAGCAGTTGCAGTAGTAGTAGTATAGTAATAGTAGTAGTAGTAGTAGTAGTTAG